GTCTTAAAGATGTTGATGACTCTGCTTCCAGTAATAAACAGGGCACTGCTAATCCTTGGCTTGAGGTGGCAATAGAAATGTGAAAAATATCACCACCAGTACATCAGGTATTGGTGAGAGGCAAGGCTCTGGGTAATCGCATGTTCAATACCTTTCTACAATTTTGTCATAATGAGAAATAAAAGGAAGCTGGTTGGTTGGTCCTACGTTCACTAGACAAAGTGGTGAAAGAAAGAGTCAAAGCTCAAGTGCCACATAAATGACCTGAAAGTTTCTACTCATGCCTTGAAAGAATACTTTATGTCTTGTAGTAACAGAGCTGATATTGCCAAAAACCAAACACAGAGTCTTATTGTAAGAGTGGCTGAATTACAATGCCAACTGAATTCCCAACCTCAGGTGGCATCTGAAGTTAAAGTGAGGGTGTTGATTGGGAAGAAGTGGTATCCTGAAACTTGGGATAAGGACATATGGGCAGGTAATCATGAAGCTGTGGACACTGAGCCCCTAAATTCTATTGAATCATTCCTGCCAACAGAACCAGACCTCTCACTCCTATCTGAAGAGATTACTTCATCTTTGTCTGCTAAGCCACCCTCCCTAGTAAAACTATTGTCCCCTCTACTCCCATCTGATGAGATTAACCCACGTGTGTATGAAGAGACTGTGTCTGAGTCATTGCCTGGGGCATCGCCTGAGGCACATGGCTTATAAGATTGCTGAATGTTCTCAAAAACACATCCCCACCACCCATTTTGGCTTCTAGACCTATAACTAGACTAAAGTCCCAGCAAGCCCCAAAAGGTGACCCAGGAGGAGGTACACTACACTCCAAAAGAACTGCTTGACTTATCCAATATGTGCAAACAGAAGCCTGGGGAATATGTGTGGAAATGGCTATGAAGGGTGTGGGATAATGATGCAAGGAGCATAAAGATGGGTCAGTCTGAGTTTATTGACATGGGCCGACTAAGCACAGACTCTTCATTCAATGTTTCAGCTTGAGAGGTTAGGAAAGGATCTAATGTTTCAGTTCGAGAGGTTAGGAAAGGATCTAATAGTTTATTTGCTGAAGCATAGATTACAGGATGGCCTACACTATATCAAGATGAAGTACCAGACTTGTCTTGGTATACTGTAGAAGAAGTCATCCAAAGATTTAGGGCATTTGGCCTGTTAGAGTGGATTTATCAGGTTAGACCTACAGACCCACACATGGAGTGCCCAGAGGACACACCTTTTACCAAAACGGTGAGGAACAAATTTGTGAAAGGAATCCCAGAATCCTTGAAGACTGCTCTGATTGCTATTTTATGTAAGTCATATTTGACAGTGGAAACTGCCCTAACTGAGTTAAGACACTTAACTACAATGGGGATGATTGGACCCTGTGGTGGTAGAGGCCAAGTGGCAACACTCAAATGACAAAGACAAGGTGGGCGTGGTTACCATAATGGACATTGGAGTCAAAGCAGTAATTAGAGTAGTCTGACTTGTATGGATTTATGGTGTTAGCTACTTAGTCATGGCGTCGGCTACTTAGTCATGGTGTCCCTAGGAGTGCAATAGATAGGAAATCTACTAAACATTTACTTGATCTGTACGAGTGGAAGAATTCTAGGTCAAGTGAATGGCAGTCAAAGTCGAATCGCTAGAATAGAGTCACAGCCCCGCAATCAATTTCTAGACTTGAATGAGTTTACAGACCCACAACCCCTTGAATGAAGGGAAGGCTGAGTCCCCTTAAGGAAAGACACCACTACACTGCCAAAAATTTGTACTGTTAATATTTCTCCCAACCTTCCCCAAAGGGATCTAGAGCCTTTTACAAGAGTGACTGTTCGTTGGGGGAAAAGAAATAATCAGACTTTTCAGGGATTACTGGATACTGAACTGGCTCTGAACTGACACTAATTCCAGGAGACCCAAAATGTCACTGTGGCCCACCAGTCAGAGTGGGGGCATATGGAGGTCAGGTTATTAATGGAGTCTTGGCTCATGTCCATCTCACAGTAGGTCCAGTGGGTCCCCGAACCCATC